GAGTTTTGAATTTACCGCGATCATCTGGCATTTTTTTGATTAATTTTCTAAAAGGGCCCCAAAATGAGTTACAGAAATATGCAGTCACACATTCAAAAATTAACTCATTGCTGCTAAACCGCACCGGATCCAGGTTTGCTAATTCTTGCCTTAGAACGAGCAGATTCTGCGCAACTAATTCTACAATTTTGAAATTCCGTCCATCAGCGGGAATTTTTTGAGAAAATTGCATAAAACTCAATATTTGCAGATGTTAGTTGGAAACATTCGCGAAGACGATTGGTCAAAAATAAATTTCGACCTGCTTAACTGAAATAGCCGATTTTTGCCATGGAAAGTGAAGATTTTTTGCTAGTGGTGAAGTTTTCAATTTAGTGCCGTCATCGAAGATTTTCTGATAAATTTACAAAAAAGGCGAAATTTCAAAAAACCAGTTGTATAAATTTACTAAGACAAACGTTCAAACTTCAATTCACTGCTGGTTAGTTATAAGACATGCACGCCTGTTGTTTCTTGCCCTAGAACGAGTAGATTCTACGCAATTAACCGTGAAGTTTTCTAATTCAGGCCATCATCAGGATTTTTTTGAGAAAAAAGAAAGAAAAAAATCAATCAGACAATCGTTTAAAATCATTATTATTTGGTAAACGGAAAAAGATGAGCAATTGTCGACTTCTTCCTTCGGAAGAGAAGATTCTTCTCTACCAATCGCAAAATTTTCAATTTGCGGCCATCATCAGGCATTTTTTGATAATTTTTCAAGTTGAAAATTTGCGAAAGCAAACCTTCAAACATCGATTCATTGCTGCTAAGCTGCAGGAGATGCAGACCTGTTGATTGTTCGCTTAGAAAGAACCTAATCTTCACTACTAACCCTGCAATTTTCAATTCCCAGCAATCATCAAGGATTTTTTAATTTTTTTACAAATCTAGCGGTTTTTCTTAATCTGACGTGGGGACTCATCCAATATAGGAATTAAGCAAACCTTGTACTGGCACTGGCGTTGAAAATTTCGATCTCAGTTCATCATCAGATATTTAAGGGGGAAAATTCGTGTCCCAAACACACAAAAATCCGATTTTCAGTGCTGACCCGAAAAAAAAATAGCTGATAAAGCGGCCCTGTTTTCTTACATTGTTGGCTCAATGTTCCAAACCGAGGAAGAGAATTGCAGTTATGATAATATCGGCCGTTTATGCGTCCCACTCGTTTTATTGTCAAGACTGCATATTCCTCATCCATGTCACTCAATCCGCTTGTATGCAAATAGCTAGGGTAGGGCCCAGATGCAGTTAAACCCATTAAGTCCCATAGAATCCGGCAGACAGTTTGTGGAACCAACCCATCATGCAGAACTAAAACTAATGGACTTTTCACGTTTCGGCCCAGATCGCGCCAGCCTCCGAAGTAAAAGTAAAAAGCGTTACTTATATGCTAATTCGATTTCGATTTGATATCTGGCCGGCCCGCTACCAGATGATACATCTGTTAGAACAAAGCGCTTTTAATCGATTCGAAAATCACGATTTGATTCGAAACAACATTAACTTTCCATTTGTCGTCAGCCCATGCAACAGCCATTTGTTTCTTGCTCGTTGCGTTGACCCAGTTGAGCGTTGATCCTCTTTATGCGGAAACGTTAATCACCGATGATTCTTCCGTAAAGGTGGCCATACATTCGCAGGCTGAGACCAAGAACTAAGGAAAACTTCCACACCGATTCAGCTGGGTGAAGTTTGGAAGCTTCTGAAAACTCAGTGAGTGGTTGGAGGGGCTTGAGTCAAATTTTCAGGGTTTGTCACCACTTGGCTTCAGTGGCAGAGTTTTTAGTTTATCGTACATTATTGTATGGTCGCCTTTTGGCTGAAGACGGAAGATCTGGCTTATTGTTTGTATAGGCGTTGCGCGGTTAATTTAGAATAGAAAAGAGAAAGTGCTTTAAGCTAGCACAGAATAAGTGAGGTTGCACTTTTATTTGTTGTTGCATGGCATGTTCCACTTAGAGTGCATCGAGGAAGAACGGGAATGATTCATTGTTTCGGTTCTTTCTTTGGAGCTGGACGGATTTCAGCTAAATCTTCTAAAGTTGCAAAATCGAATCGAATCGAGTAGCTGATTAAGCACTCAATTGCTTCGAAAGTCTTCCTGATTCTGGTGCCACGTATAAACGGCATTAGTGGCATCAGCTTTATAATATAATTAATAATTCCCGGTTTGGAATCACACTGATTTATCGGTCACGATCGAGGATTTATCGAGATCAGTCCCTAATACTGCGGCGTTATTGAAAAGTGAAAAAATGTCCAAACGCATTGGCGTACAGTCGTAGACATTCGATCGCTGGATTCCATCTCCTACAGCCGAGAAGCTGAAGCTTCAGCGCACGCCATTGGAGATGGGTTTTCCATTAAAAAAAAATGGCTTAAGATAGTTGTTGTTCGGTAAATTGGACGGGTTAAAGGCCATCTCGATATTACCGGATAATTCCGCTAAGTGGATTTATTGTACAGTGTCATACCGTATAATAAATTGTTCGGTCGTATGATTGCTTTCATGATTTATTTGAATGAGTATCTGTGGCTGCGATCCAAAATCCATGTTTCGACCAGATAAAGAGTCTCTCTTTGCTTTATTCAATCAGACACTGATGAGGATCAGACGTCGAAATGTGGACAACCGCACTCGAAAGAGGAAGGTTCGGTTTCTTCCGGTGCAGATTTGGTTATATTCGACCAAGTGGTTGATTAATAATTTTTTTTAGCTTGGTACTCTTTTGTGCGGTTTTTCGTTTCGGTATCATGTTCTTTTGAAACTTGTGTCAAGAACCAATTAAGACGCCGGGATGTGAACCTGAGAAATTGAGAGAAGAAGCTTCCATTGACTCGTGGTTGAAATTTGATTCCATTCGAGCAAGTGGTTACTTATTAATTATTCTGGTTTCCTGTTCATGCTCTTTAAGTGCTCCTCTCTTAAGAACTATTTCAGAATACCAATTTTGATCTTCAGAAATTGAGAGAGAAAACTTCATTTTACATGACAGAGATTTCGGATTTGTTTTGGGCGGTTTTTGCATTCACACTCTCACAGTGATCGATAGGGAGAGCCTTATTTTACATCAGATGAGAATTTGGTTCTATTCGCGCACATGCTTCCTTCATAATCATTTTTTGAAATTTGGGAAATTGGGATTTTTTTATATCATGCTTCTCTATTCCTCGTATCTAAGGAAGCATTTGCGACTTTTAAATGCGGATACCAGCAGTCGATGCAGAAAAGATTACTATACATGAATAGTGAACTTGGTTCCATTTCAGCTGGTGGCTCTCCCATAATTAATTTTTGAAGTTTGTAATTATTGTGCGTGGTTTTTGGATTTTGCATCATACAGTTCTAATGCTCGTCTCTACAGAAATATTTGACACTCCCAAACGCAGATCAGAGCAATCGTTTGCGAACGGTTCATTTTACATGGATTGTGAATTGGGTTCCATAGAAGCAAGTGGTTCCTTCACAATAATTGTTAATTATCACAAATAATTTTTGCAATTTTGATATATTTGGGCGGCTTTTTGAATTCGCATCACGCGCTTTTAAAGCACGGATCTGAAGAACCATTTGAGAGTTTCAAATCTGTACCCCACCGGCTCATCAAGAAAGCTTCAGCTTACATTAGACGCAAATCGGGTTCCAGTTGCCCAAATAGTTCCTTCAGAATTAATTTTTCAAGCTTGAATTTTTTTGCGCAATTTTTTGTTTCTCGTACATACTTTTCTATGGCTTATTTCTGAAGCACCGTTATAGGATTCAAAATGGAGACATCCGCCGTCGGTCGCGAAAGGTTGGGGGTTTATGAGAGAGGTGAATTTGGTTGCATTCAAGCTAGTGGTTCCTTCATAAAAAAGTTTGAAGTTTGTTTTTTTTTGGGTCAATTTTTCGTTTTAGCATTTTGATCTTCTAATGCTTGTGACCAAAGAATCATTATGTGATTTCAAATGTAGACACCAGCAATCGATAGAGGAAGGTAGAGCTTACGCGAGAGCTAAATTTGGTTCCATTCGAGTGAGTGGTTCCTTCATAATTAATTTTGGAAGTTTGGAATTTTGTTGCGGAATTTTTCGTTTTTGCATCATGTTCTTCTACTGCTTGTCTCTTAAGAACTATTGGAGACTGCCAAATGTTGATAACATATATCGACAGCGGAGGCTTCAAGTTACATTATAGGTGAATTGGGTTCCATTCGAGCAAGTGGTTCCTGCATAATTAATTTTGAAAGTTTCGAATATTTGGCGCGGCTTTTCGTTTTTGTATGATGTTATTTTACTGCTTGTCTCAAGCCGTAAAACCATTTGAGACTGCGAAATGTGGACAACAGAAATCGACAGAGGAGGCTTCAAGTTGCATGATGTGTGAATTGGGTTCCATTCAAGCGAGTGGTTCCTTCATAATTAATTTTGGAAGTTTGGAATTTTATTGCGAGATTTTTAATTTTTACATCACGTTCTTCTACTGCTTGTCTCTTAAGAAATAGTCGAGACTGCCAAATGTGGACAACAGAAATCGGCAGAGGAGGCTTCAATCATTATCGGTGAATTGGGTTGCATTCGAGCGAGTGGTTCCTTCATAATTAATTTTGGAAATTTGCAATTTTTTTATTTTTTTGTAAATTTCAGCTTTGTTGAAGCTGTGTTCCCACACACACTAACACTTCGAGCAGCACACTTTCAGACAAAATATGCTATAAATACTTTCGTACATTGTTATTTGCATTTGCATTAAAATTGTGAAATTTTGATAATTTTTTCCCCGTGGGTTAAACGTACCGAAGACCGTGACTGTTTCTTGCATGTTACAAGGAGCTTTTCGCTGTCAACTTCCACGCTCTAATTCGGATCCAAGACAAATTTCGATGCCGCAAAAATATCGCAGAATTCACAGAACAATAAATTGCTGTTTCCCATTAATCAACGTTTCTAATGTTTGATGTTTGGTTGTTTTACAGTTCATACGCCGAGCCCGCCGCCTCGGCCCTGGATTCCCTTAGCCAGGCCCAGTTCAAACCGGCCAGCCTGTAAGTAGTTTCTGTGCTGAATTTCCCGAGGAAACTTGATTTTTCCTTCAGGTATTTTCACTGTGATGTGCTACAACGTTCTTTGTGATAAATATGCCACCCGTCAGATGTACACGTACTGTCCGAGTTGGGCCCTGAACTGGGACTATCGGAAAAAGGGCATAATGGATGAAATCCAGCACTATGCAGCCGACATTATTAATCTACAAGAAGTGGAAATGGAACAGTTTTACAATTTCTTTATGCCCCAGCTCAAGGTGAATTAATTACGAAAAACTCCCGAAAGGATGGTTTCCAATCGTGTTTTTTTTCATTGTTTTTAGGCCCATGGCTACTACGGAATCTATTCGCCTAAGTCGCGGGCAAAGCACATGGCCGAATCCGAACGGAAGTTCGTGGATGGTTGTGCGATTTTTTTCAGGACATCCAAGTGCGTTGGTTTGCCTGTTTTGGCCGCGGATTTTCGCCTAATCTTGTTTGTTTGCAGGTTTACTTTAGTTAAGGAACACTTGGTCGAATTTAATCAACTTGCCATGGCCAATGCTGATGGTTTGGAACACATGCTGAACAGGGTGATGCCTAAGGACAATATTGGTCTGGCGGCTCTTCTGCAGACCACTGCCAATGCATGGGAAAATGGTAAGTGCGAAGAGTGAAAAAGCATTTGTGTCCAGGATTTAAGCGCTTGGAAAAGATCAGGTTTATGTGCGATTTGAGTAAAATATTCAGACTTTTCGTCTGCTAGCATCTTTAACAGGATGTGCGAATTTCAAGTTCTTACCAGCTCTGGATTGGCAGTGAGCGATTTTTAAGGACCGCGCAGTTGAACGAAAACGCCTAGTTTTGCCGCCACCTTTAAACAGGTGTAACAAATCAGGATTTTTTGGGATTTGCGTGAAATTTTCAGAGTTTTTGGTCTGCAAGTGTCCTGTACAGGGCGGGCAAATTTTAATTTTCTACCATCTCTGGATTGGGGGTGAGCGATTTTTAAAGAAGGGCGCGCAGTTGACTGGAAACGCCTTTTTTGTCCCCACCTTTATAGAGATGTGTAACCAATCAGGATTTTTTGGGATTTGCAAGAAGTTTTGAGAGTTTTGGTCTGCAAATGTCCTGTACAGGGCGTGCAAATTTCAATTGTCTACCAGCTCTGGATTGGGAGTGAGCGATTTTTAAAGAAGAGCGCACAGTTGAACGGAAACGTCTAGTTTTGCCGCCACCCTTAAACAGGTGTAACAAATCAGGATTTTTTGGGATTTGCGTGAAATTTTCAGAGTTTTTGTCTGCAAGTGTCCTGTACAGGGTGTGCAAATTTCAATTTTCTACCATCCCTGGATTTAGAGTGAGCGATTTTTAAAGACCGCGCAGTTGAACGTAAACGCCTAGTTTTGCCGCCACCTTTAAACAGGCGTAACAAATCAGGATTTTTTGGGATTTGCACAACATTTTAAGAGTTTTGGTCTGCAACTGTCCTGTACAGGGCGCGCAAATTTTTTACGGTGAAAATAAAAATGGCTGTTTAATGCTTGTATTAACTGAAGAAACTGTTCGTGTTGCAGCTCCTCCGGATGCGCCATTCGCATGCCAACCAGTTTTGGTTTGTACTGCACATCTACATTGGGATCCAGAATATTGCGACGTGAAACTGATCCAGACCATGATGTTAAGCAACGAACTGAAGAGCATATTAGAGGAATCGGTACAGACCTTGCGAGCAAACAATGTGAATATAACGGATCCAAGCAACATCCAGTTGGTGAGTTTGTGCTTTGTCACTGGCAGTGCAACGGTTACATGAAACGCCATTTTTTCCAGGTGTTATGTGGCGATTTCAATTCGTTGCCCGATTCTGGAGTAATCGAGTTCCTTGGTACGGGCAAAGTGTCGCAAGACCATCAAGACTTCAAGGCGTTTAGCTACAAGGCCTGCTTGGAGAAGGTTCTTAGCTGTGATAAACCGAATGAATTTACGCATTCCTTCAAACTGGCATCGGCTTACAATGATGAGATAATGCCGTTTACCAATTACACGTAAGTATGAATGGTTTTACTGGGGATTTGCGGGAGTTTTAACTGTGCGTGGCAGATTTGATTTCAAAGGCATCATCGACTACATTTTCTACGCAAAGAACACCATGACTCCGCTAGGTTTGCTCGGTCCGATCTCTCAGGACTGGATCTCACAGAACAAGGTGATTGGCTGTCCGCATCCGCACGTCTATTCGGATCACTTCCCGCTATTGGTCGAGTTGGAAATGGTTCCAACGATATCTGGCCCAATGAATGGCATTATCAGGTATACGGGTAATAGCTTGTGTCTTGGCCTTCTTGGAAAGTGTTTGTTATGAATTATAATCAGCTTTATTTATAATGCAACGTGTTCGCGGGGATTAAATAGTTCATAACTCGCAATTCAAGCGGATCTAAGTCAGGATTTTTGAGTGCTTTTAGCGGCAACATCGGCTGATAGACCTTTACGTGTTTATAGGTAGCAATTGGCGGAGGTTTACTAAGCGGACGTAACCATTGTCGCCTTCTCATCGCTGTACCTGTTGGACGAGACTGGTCACACGCCATCAGACCGAACTGTTTTCATCCTTTACCACCTAGTAATCCTTCGCGGTGTACATTTTGGCTGTACAAAACAATTAAAAATGTATCGCAATTTCATTGTAAATAAATTGGTACCTGACGGCCTCACAAGCAAATCAAAACACCCACCTTGTAGCAGGGTGGGTTGGTCGCATGGGAATGGTGCATATCCGGGAAACACGCACACAGACCATGTTCGCTGTATTGAACTGTTGAGGTTTCTGTGATTTGTATTCAGTTTATATTTGTTTGTTTTAGAGTAGAGCCTAAGATAGACGAAGCTGCTAAACTGGCGGAATGTTGGGGTGGATATTTAAATCGCTGATCGAATCCAAGCCAAGCGCGACACCAACACGCACATGCTCAAAGGTAAATGCAGAATGCCGTGGTCTTTTGCGTTGTTGCTTAAGACACAAAGGAACTATCAGTTGGTTAATTGAAAATTTCCTATTTATTTTGCTCAGTTGTTTCTGGCGTAAAACCTTTTACGTTCAAGTCTGGACATCCAGCCAAATCCACACTTTCGTGTTGCTCAAGCTTGCCCCTGAGGATCGCAATCTAATTAACGAGTTTTGGGAATTCGGTATGATTTTGAGCTGCTTTTTCAGAATTCATATTTAAATGTTGGGTAGTTTTTTTTTATGCTTTTTTAAACGTTGTCTTTGAATAACTATTCGAGTCTTCTGTTTAGTTAAGTTGTGAATTTGGTTCCATTCGAGCACGTGGTTCATTCAGAATTAAATTGTATCTTCTAATGCGCGTCCCTAAAGAACCGTTTGAGACTTAAAAACACGGATATCAGCAGTCGATGCAAGCAGGTTCCGCTTACACCAGATGTGAGATTGGTTCCATTCGATATAGTGATTGCGTCAAAATTAATTTTTTAAATTTGGATTATGTATTGTTTTTTTTTCAGTTTGCATCGCGCTTTTTAGAAGGTCGTTTCTAAAAAAATATGTTTGTACACGTAAACATCAGCAATCGATAGAGTTAAATTGGCAAGTGAATTCAGTTCCATTTGAGCAAATGGTTTCTGCAAAGTTTGACATTTTCTTGGACGGTTTTCTCTATTCGCGCCACGCTCTTGTAAATCTCGGTTCTAAAAAAAATTAAGTTTTAGAGTGATCATCAGCAATGGATACGGCAAACTTCAGTTGATTTGTAAGGTGAACTTGGTTGCTTCTGCTAGTGGTTCTTTCATAATTACTTTTTGAAGTTTTGATTTTTTTACATTTGCAAGAACCGTTTAAGACTTAAAAGCACGGATAACAGCAATCGATGCAGGAAGCTTCAGTTATGGGTTCTTGAAAAAATCAACGTTAGGAATTTCTTTCTTCTAAAGCTCGTCTCTAAAATATTTTTCCAGACCTACGAAAGTGAACATCAGCAATCGATATGGGCAACTTCAGATGATTTGCGAAGTGAACTTGGTTGGGTTTGAGCAAGTGGTGCTTTCATAATTGATTTCTGAAGTTTAATTTTTTTTGGGCGGTTTTTTGTATTTGCACCACGCTCTTCTACAGTTTGTCTCTAAATAACCACCCGACACTTAAAAAGGCACACATCAGCAAACGATACTTGAGCTTAACTTAACTTCTAGCACGTGGGTCTTTTAAAATTAGTTTTAGAAGTTTGGAATTTTTTTGCCCGATTTTTCCTTTCTGCATTATGCTCTTCTAATGGTTCTAATCGTAAAGGAACCGTCGTCGCTAAAAATGTCTTTGATATGTGAAAATGTGAGCATCAACAATCGATACAAAAAGCTTCATTTGGGTACGAAGTAAGTTTGGTTCCATTTGAGCTAGCTAGTGGTTCGTTTCATAATTGATTTTTGAAGTTTTCTGGGCATTTTCTTGTACTTTCCAAAACTTTATTTTGCTCCTCTGAACCAACAACCTTCGATATCGTAGTTCATCAATTAGCAGTAGATAAACCGAGCTTGAGTTTATTGAGTTTTGGGCAAAACTGACTAAAAGAGCTCAGAGTTCCGAGAAAACCGCCTTTAAACATCCGCCTTGGACGTTTTGTCTGCCGCTGTTTACAACAAATGTTTCGCAACTATTTGGCCTTGTTTCCAATGTAGAACCCGCATCATTTTCCGCAAATCACCGAATTGCTTGTAATTTGTACTATTGACAATATTGTTGCCCATTTATCGTGACCTGGCACTGCTTAAACAGCCACCATCATGGCAATAGAAGATTCTGGATGTGAATGCCGAACGTTTCCTAACTGTAATTGACTTTAGTTTATTGAGTTTAGTGATAATTTGTGATTAGAAAGGCCATTTCTAAGCAGCGTGCGTGCGTGCACACAAAGACAGTCCTTTTTAATTCTGGTCATTTAGGCATAAAGTATTTTTACACCTAACGCTATCGATAATTATTTTTGTACTGATTAGTCGTTTCGGTTCGAGCGGCCAATGGAAAAGCCATCGTCAATAGTGGTGGTTTCTCCATGGTCACGCCAGTGCAATACTGTCAGATCGTATGGTATGGAAGGTTGACTATAAATACTACCACTGTGTCTGTAAACAGTTCAACATCTCGTGGTGGATTGCAGTTAGATTAGTTTCAGTTGCATAAATGAAGGAAATTTCGATTTTTCATGTCAGAAATTTCACAACCCGCCCGCTATTTGATTGATTATTTAGGAATCAACTGTGATACTGTGATATGTATTTGTTGTTAGTATTTATATTAAGGTTGTTTACTTTTTACCGATTAATTTGTAATTTTGGAAAAGAGCACGCGAGTGTTTTATTGTACAATTTTTGCAAGTTTCTGATATAAAAAATCGGAATGCAGGCAGGCCTACAGCTAAACCTCCTCTGCTTTTCAGTGTTTATGAGATTTAGGTGTGTTTCCTCCTTTTCCCGTTAGGTACTTAAATTTTTTAGGAAATCGTTAATATATGTAATTGTCAGAATGTCGGCATTTATCGATCTCAGAGCGCCTGCAGCCAAGGCTGGAGGCGCCCTGGATACGTCTGAAATGTATACTGAAGAGTCAACAGATATATAGCGGATTTACAATAAGGCAAAGTTTCTAGTAGATTTAGTTGATTGACTGTTATGGCCCCGAGACTCATTTTTTTTTCGCGTTCTCACGCAACTCGTTTCAATTCAATTGCATATCTTCTGATCTCAAACTTTGTCTTATATATAGGTGTTTATTGTTCAGTAGCGCTTGTGGTATCAGACAATGGTTTCAATGAGGTTTAAGTTAATTATTAGATCTTTGTGTATAGTTAATAAAGTGAACTTGGACCATGTAGTTGCCAGTTGGTTTTTCATTTATTCCTCTGCACCGACTAGACGGTTTCCGCCAGCCAAACGCTTTGCATGCAGCGCCTGCTGCTCTCCTGCTGCCAGCGTATCCCATATGAGTCCCACAATCGTCGCCGATTGACGGCCGACCGAACTTTTTAAAGTCCAAATGAGATCCTGCAGTTTGTTGCTTGCAGCAGTTTGCGTTTAATTAATAAGACAAAGACGTTCTTCGACTCCTTGTCCCCCCATTTAACCAACAACCTTGTCCTGTTTCTACCGTCCTGATACTCGGGTGACATGCAAGTAACCACATTGTTGGTAATAATTCACGTTTTAATAACAATAATAATATTATAATAAATTCAGGGCTGGGGAGCGCGCTCGCGATTAATTTCCCCATCAATTAACTGTTGTTTACTGCTCCCCATTCCTGCGCTCCTGCCCCCGGTTGGAGTCTATTAAATCCGCCTTATTCCATCATCCATGTGTACTTGGGACTTACTAAAACTTACCTTAGTAGTGTGGTGTGTACAAGCAGGCAGGCGCAAGGAACGGAGTTTGTGGTTAACGAATGCTTTCTCCTGCCTTTGCTTGCAGGTTCTGCGCTCCTGATCCTGCTGGGGAGGCTTCAGATGGCGATTTCGTCTAGAAACAGCAGCTTGGCGCCACTGCCAAAGTCTCTTCTCCAATTTTGTGGCAAACTGAACACATCGAAGCCGAAATCCCTGCAACAAGAGAAATTTGGAATTTTTCCAGAAAATTCGTACCGGCTTATGCTGGGCTGCTGGCTGGCAGAGAGTTGGGCGGACGGAATGCAATGGCCAGCAGCCAGCCAGCAGGAATGTCGAATAGAATTCGAAATATGAAAAATACGCGGTTAGTAAGAGTTTTTGGCAGTCTGCAGGCCCGGCGAGCAGAAGCAGCAGGAGTGAGAAGGCGCGGCGAGCGCAAGGCAAACCCGCACTGCTTTTGCCGATGGTTTAACGAGAATCAGCAATAGCACGAAATTCGCGAAAAATCAGAAAAAAATGGCACGTGAGGGAGAGCGGACTGTGCTACAATTATAGAGGCAATTTGGTTCCTTCCCTGTGACGCAATTGGTTCCTTCCTCTTTTTAATCTGGGCTGGTTTGCCAGAAATACACTTTTGAAGCTGCTTGCAAACGCCAGATGGATATCAGTTTGTAAGGGCAAGCGCACCTGAATGGACAAAAATCCGTCAAAAATCAGGAAAAAATGGCAATAGCGAAAATGTTTTGCGGCAATCATAAAGGAACGTTTCCTCTTTCCATTGGCGTATCAGGCGCGTTTGTATCGAGGCTGGTTTGTGAGAAATACATTTTTAAAAGTCTGCTTGCAACGCTAGATCCTATCGGTTTGAAAGGGCATGTGCACCTGAATGGACAAAAATTCGTCAAAAACCAGGAAAAACTGGCAATAGAGCCAATTAGAGCAATCATAAAGGAACGTTTCTTCTTTCCATTGGCGTAACACGCGCTGTTGTTTCGAGGCTGGTCTGTGAGTCATAAATTTTTAAAAGTCTGTTTGCAAACGCCAAATCTTATCGGTTTGAAAGGGCACCTGAAAATCGTAAACAATCTGGAAAAACTAGCAATATAGTGAATTTTCGGCCCATAATACAGGAAAGTTCGGGCTTTCCATTGGCGTGTCAAGCGCTCTTTCACCTGGGCTGGTTGGCAAGAAACACATTTTTGAAAGTCTGGCAGCAACCGCCAAATGAAACATCGGTTTGTCAGTGCAAGTTCGCCTGAATGGATAAAAAATCGTCAAAAATCAGGAAAAACCGGAATTAGCCTCAATTTTGCGACTTAACTAAAGGAAAGATCACTCTTTCCATTGGCGTAACATGCGTATCTGCGTTAGTTTGCAAAAAATATTTTTGAAAAATCGGTTTGTCAACCAGAAGTCGGCACGGAACATCATTGTGCAAATTACCGGGCACCTTACTGTGTAAAAATCGATAAACAATCAGGAAATCCAGGCGTGACAAACAACTCTTCATCAATAATAGAGGAAAATAGCACTATCTCCAGTGGTATGCCGTACCTTTTATTGCATATTCAAACTATTCGCACAATTCCCTATTCGATATAAATGTTCTATAAGTATTTTCAACTGTTTTTGAGATAATAACCAATATTGATTGAACTTTGGCCACCCCGTTTTTGCATCTAATTTGAAATTTAGAGCAAAATATTATATACAAAAGTTATAGATATTAACGTCTAGATTATTTTAAGATAATACAAATTGATACAGAGTGTCTGAAATTCAATTTAAAAAAAGATAAGTTTGGTCTGCCACTTGAATTTGAGACACCCTGTATCAATCTTAAAATAGACTGGCCGTTAGTATCTACAACTTCCGTATTTAACATTTTTCTCTAAACTTCAAATTAGATGCAAAAACGGAGTGGCCAAAGTGAACTTTTTCATTTTGATTGAAATCGATACCCTGTACATTCATTCTGGAAAAAATCACAAC